ATTACGGGGGAGTGGAATGAATATTTTCAAAATAGTATCCTTATTGTACCCCTATCTTATTTTGCTAATAACATTTAATGTTATTTTGAAACAAAAAACAAAGACAGAAATGTGCACATATTTCTTCCCCATACTGGTTTCCAAATAGCAGGCTGAGCATGCATGATAAACTCCCGCATTAAGTATACATGACCTACTATCAGTACACATAGGTAAGATACACTAGAAATGCTTCCCGGGAGCTCTGTTAGATTTTATTTCATGAGAATCATTTTTTCCTTAGCTATTATAGAAAATTATTTAATAATATGCAAATGGTGAAGACTAACAGACAGCAATCATAAGACACATCATGCATCTGGAAGCATTGGTTTTATCATTGCCTCTGTAAATTGTCCCTGAACTCTACAAATAGAATGTCTAGAAAAATTTTCTAATGATTCAGATAATATTTTTCTTTAAAGTTTACTTTTTTAGAAGCTTCCTAAAGAGTTGAACATTAAATTTCTCAGATTTTGCTCTAAGTGTGAATTCCACTTACTATTTTCTGGAAATAGGAAACAAGTATCACGGGACAGCATGTCTCACTGGCATTCACATTCAATGCCCCAAATTAGAACCACACCACGGCTTAAGTCTTCTGTAAGAACACTGGATGTGAGTCCCTGCACTGCTGATACAGTTTTATTTTTTGGTCTACATAATAATTATGTGGGTATCAACTGTTGGACATTACATGTGTGGACTTCATAGTGGTTTTTATCCTGCAATTGTATTTCACAATAAAAAGAAATAAAAGGCAGTTATTCTCAGCATTACTTAAATGTTAATGTATGTAATAATCAAGTAAACCTGACCTGAGTCCCCACTCGGCTAAATTTTAATATGGCATACTACTTTGAACACTAATTAGTTCCATTTTGTAGTAAACTGGCCGCTTCGACCCACATCCACTCTAGTATCTGCTGGAGGAGGCTGGCTGCTTACACTAAGCCTCTTTGTTGCTGCATCTCATCTGCTCATAGTCCAAGGAGTTAGCTCAGAAACTTGAGAACAGAGGCTGGGGGCAGTGGCTCACACCTGTAATCCCAACACTTTGGGAGGCTGAGGCGGGAGGATCACCTGAGGTCAGGAGTTTGAGACCAGCCTGGCTAACACGGTGAAACCCCATCTCTACTAAAAATACAAAAATTAGCCAGGTATGGTAGTGCGCACGTGTAACCCCAGCTACTTGGGAGGCTGAGGCAGGAGAATTGCTTGAACCCAGGAGGCAGAGGTTGCAACGAGTCACCGCACTCCAGCCTGGGCGACCAAACTTATAATTGAGTTGTGGGGTGTGGCCATCCTCTTTTGACCAAAGTAGTTCCTCTGTTTTATGTATACAATACCCCCATTTTTCTTTGAAGAAATATGACTAAAATAAAGTTTTAAAACCACTGATCACATATTCAGAACTTCGGTTTTATCATTTTTAAGTGTCCAAGCCCTGGTACACTGAAAACAGTATAAGGCAATCACTAGGTAATTCTTAACCTTCTAAACCACCTTCTTGTACATTTGTCTTCAGATTCCTTTTCAAGTTATATACATTGCACATAATAGTCCCACTTCAATACAATGATAGTCTTTAGCATATTTACTGTTTATATTGTTTAGTTTGGTTGCTTCCTAAGACTTCCAAGGATTCTGATTCTATTCAATAAAGTTTTAGTCAGGATGTATTTCTGATTGCTTCTTGTTAAGTATTAGCATATAAAATCTCTAGTTCTTACTAAAAAGAACGTCCTGTATCCAGCCCTTTGTTTTTAGTATTACTTTCTTTTGACACGGAGTCTCACTCTGTTGCCCAGGCTGGAGTGCAGTGACATGATCTCGGCTGACTGCCACCTCCACCTCCCAGGTTTAGCGATTCTCCTGTTTCAGCCTCCCAAGTAGCTGAGATTACAGACATGCACTACCACACCCAGCTAATTTTTGTGGTTTTATTAGAGATGAGGATTCACCATTTTGGCCAGGCTGGTCTCCAACTCCTGACCTCAGGTGACCTGCCCACCTCGTTCTCCCAAAGTACTGGGATTACAGGCATAAGCTACCATGGCTGGCCTAATACTATGTACTTTTCTTTTTTCCCTTCAAAGTTAAAGTCCATTTAGTTTGAGGCCCTGTCTACTATTTTTCTGGCTGAAGAGCCAAGAAACAGAAAAAGAACTTTAAAAACTAGTAATTTTCAGATAATGACCTTCCTTTTTTTAAAGGAGAAAAATCGAGAGATATTAAAATTGGTAATAAGAAACGGTTCTAACTGGATAGCAACACTAAGCTGTATTTAGGGACGCCAAGGAAATGTGATCGGTAATTTTCTTGGGGAAGAGTAGTTTGGACAATAAATGGCTTGACTTCATTCAGCTTGAACATTTTGTTCTAGTAGAAAGTGAAATAATCTATTCGACAATATTAAAAATATTGCAAATAATGCAAGAATGGATAAACAATGCCTAGATTTGCCCATGTCTAGAAAGTAGGTCAATATAGGACTCTAGCGCAATTTTTGAGGACAAAGCCCACAAAGTAGTAACACAATACCTATAGGACTGACCTGGTTCCCAACTGCTGCTTGCTTTCGTTACTTTCTGCTATTACTCAAAAATCTAAACAGCAAGAAGTGTGTACCAACAAAAGCTGCATTTGGCAGGGAAAACAATGGCCCTGTTACACATAATTCAAATTAGAACAGGCTCTTGATGATACATATCAAAGGCCTTAAAGTTACACATATCCCTATGACAACTATCCTAGCCAATGACAGCAGTGACAGGTTCCAAGAATTTAGGTCAAAAACTCATGACAATGCCATTTTTCAAAGTCAACTAATTTTACCATCAAAAAAAAAATTCTGGCCGGGCGCGGTGGCTCAAGCCTGTAATCCCAGCACTTTGGGAGGCCGAGGCGGGTGGATCACGAGGTCAAGAGATCGAGACCATCCTGGTCAACATGGTGAAACCCCGTCTCTACTAAAAAAATACAAAAAATTAGCTGGGCATGGTGGCACGTGCCTGTAATCCTAGCTACTCAGGAGGTTGAGGCAGGAGAATTGCCTGAGCCCAGGAGGCGGAGGTTGCGGTGAGCCGAGATCGCGCCATTGCACTCCAGCCTGGGTAACAAGAGCGAAACTCCATCTCAAAAAAAAAAAAAAAAAAAAAAAAAAAAAAAAAAAAAAAAAAAAAATTCTGATTTTAGCATCAAGAAAAATCTTGATGTCAAAGAAAATTATCTCACCTCACTGACCTAAAAAAAAAAAACATTATTTTGCATCTCAGTAACCAACTTGATTCACTAAACTTGATTATACCCTATTTTGGGCAGGTGTGTTTGGTTTTTTGGTTTTGGGGGGCGACGGTTTGTGTGGATTTGGTGTGTGTGGTCCTTTTACAAACTTCCACTGCATCCATATGGGATGGTTCACTGGTTGAGAATATTCAACATCTGCAAGTATTAGAAGCAACAATAAAGAGACTCCGAAGTGACCCATTTCAAGGAGGCTTCAGAAAGATATGATCACTTAATCTGGCAGAAAACCATGTTCTGAGGGGGATTTTCAGAAATTTCAGCATATAGAGAAGTGATAAAGATAATAAGCAATACAACACACTTGGGCTTTAATCTTTGACCAAATTACTTGGTGTGCTTTAGTTTCTCCATCTGAAAAGTAGGCCAAATGAGAAAAGCTCCTCATAAGGTGGTGAGGAAATGAGAATATATCAATAAACTATGGGATGCTTGCACCGTGCTGGGCACTAGAAATGTATCATCTCATCTGACTGCCATAGCTCTATGAGACAGCTATTAGTTCTATTTCACAGATGAAGTAAGGTTAAAAGGTGAAATTCCCAGGTTACATGTCTGGTAAGAGGCAGAGCCAAGATTCACTTTCAGTAATAAAATTCTAAAATATGCACTTCTCTTAAATCAGGATTCTTTAAATGTTATAAACAAAGAGCATTTTTCTAGGTTTTTAAATAGGATCACTACAAATTTACACAATTTCCTCCACATTAAAGATCACTATAAAATATTTTCAATAACCTTTGTATTAACTTGAAACAAGCCAATTTAGGAAGTTACCAAATCACCTAATTATATTACACAAATTTATTTGTTCTTTGTAATTTTTTGCTTTTCTGATCATCATTATCCCACAAAATACACATTCCAAGACTGCGGAAAGTGAGGTAACTAAAAGTACATTCACAATGCATTCCTGTTACTATATCCAGCCATCTATAAAGGCAATCCACCTACAGTATATGGGATTTTAGCTTTGGTATCCAATTAAATATCCTCAAAAATGAATTATTTTTAAAGGTTATATGGTAAAATAAAAACATCTCTGGTTATTTAATTCAAGCATAAAAAACTAAATTATCTTGTTTTTATTCCTAGAATACAAAATAGGAATAGCTTCTACATGCTTAAATTGCGCTTAAGTTCAATTTTCCTATTCCAACACAATTGGCCCATAAAAGGTTGCTTCTGTTCTCTGTATATTATCACCATTATTGCTCATTGTGTAAGAACTAAAAATAGAATCTAGAAAGCCAGAAACCGCAAAAATAACATCTTGGGGCCAGAAGCAAAACAAACAGAATATACAACAGACAAATACAGACAGAATCTATCACCTAAGACAAAATCAAAATTCCACTTCATTACTAATGAATGTAGTTCAATTAAATAGGCTCATTATTAAGAGGTGAACATGGCTCTCTATTCTTTCCAGTATCCTACAAGATTTGTAAACACAAAAACCATCCAGTTCTAGATTTGAAAATTAAAGGGAATCACTTTGAATCTATTCTGGTTCAGGGGGTTGATGTAAAAAAATTAATAAATAAAAGTATATACCACAGAATTACCTGGTTGTCCAATTTATCATGACAAGTCATGGGAAACCTATTTGCAGGAACTGGTTCTGACTTGGGGGAGAAAAAAAACACAACTTCTTGAAAAGGTAAAATAGCTTAAAGCATTTAATGTCTAAACAAATCAATCTGTTAATAGTAGTCACAAAATATGCTTAATATAGAAACCCACATTCATGTCTTTAAGAAAAAGTGTAAATTGTATTCCACCTCAAAACATAAATTAACCCGCCTAAAGAATCTGCAGCGGTCAAAGTCATGGTGAATTTTAAACAACTTCAGAATAAAATAACAATAAGTACTTTATACTGCTTTATCTCTAAAAAATGCTTACAACTTCTCATAAAAATAGTCTGAATCAACTATTTTTTCTTTTATTTTTTAACAGACATGTTCAACATTACAGTCAACATTTTTAAAACCTTAAGCTTTACAGACTTTCAAACATTCAAATACTGTGGTCCCTTTTCTTTGATGTGGTTTATTCAGCTAGAAAAGAAAACATGGTAGACAACTTAATAGGTTTTCACCAAATTTGAAAGTAGTACAAAAATTTTAGGACTCTACTGAACTACACATCGTACCTAAGGTATCATTAAAAATAGAAGACAGTATTTTCTTCAGCAAATCAAACAGCATACTGATATGCTGTTAATGCATACCTTGTAATGTGTACTGTCATTCATAAATTATTCACAACTTCTACTGTGTGAGAACTAGAATGTAAATTTTCTGCAAAACTGGAAAAAAGCAATACAAAATTTGTGAAAGCCTGTTTTATACTATACAAAAGTCAGTTTTTCTCTTCAAATACCAGATACTGTATGCAGTGATACTCTGGACCCATTACAGTAATTCTTGAGGATGTTTTAATGCTGGAGGTAAGTTTACAGGCCTTGATTCTTCATCAAGGAGTACTAGATCTTCTATTTCACTGCCTCTGTATTTCCTTTTACATATTTTTACCACCACCTTTTTCTTGAGAAATAACTTCAATGCTTCTCTTGATGCAACTGCTTTTGCATTTTCTTTGCTTTTTCCACAGCCAGTGCCCAAATATACAGACTTGCACCTCAATTCACAAACAATACTTTCTTGAGAGCTCTTATTTTGAGGCAGATCTGCCAATTCTTTTAGTGGGACAAAAAATACATCCAGTGTTGCTTTCAGAGCCTCAATAGCTGCATTTAGGAGCTCTCCATGATTCACATTGGGACTAAAGCCACCAACAGCTACCAACTTCCACGCCACCGTTTTATACAGTCTATTGAAAAAAGGCTGCTTCTGTTTCACATCTTCATTGGTTAACTTGCAAGAGAATTTGACAGAACTCTCACTTGACTGTGAAGTACTTTTAGAAGGCAACTGTGAGGTGCTTGTCTGAGAACTACTTTTAGAAGCCAACTGGGACACACTTGCTAAGGAAGTGCTTTTGGAAACCAGAGATCCACTGGTCTGGGAGCTGCTCTTGGAAGCTAATAGTGACGCAGCTACCTGGGAAGTGCTTTTGGAAGTTAGCAGCGATGTATTTGTTGAAGAGCTGCTCTTGGGAGTCAGTAAGGATGTGCCTGATGAGGAACTGTTTTTAGAAACAGATGATGAAACACTTGCCTCTGAACTAGGTTTGGAAGTTAACACACTTGAAGCTGTCTCTGAACTAGGTTTGGAAGACAATAATGGCAACTCTACTTCTGAGCTTCCTGAGGAGCCCAACAAGGGCACCTCGATCTCTGAGCTGCTTTGAGAAGCTGGGGCTGAAGAGCTTTCCAAAGCACTCTTTTTAGGTGATCCACTTTGTTGTCTAGAATCAGTGGATTGGGTCATGTGACTATTCACACTGGATTTCAGCAAGGAAACAAATGATGCAGAACCGTGTTTATCTGGAGCTTCTGCTTCAGAAGCTTTCCCAGATCCTGCCGATGTTACCTGAGAGGAAACACTGCTGCTGCTTTGGCTGGAAACAGACCGATCTCCATCACTTGTAGAGCTATTCTCACTGGAGATGCCAGAGCTCCGAGTTGAGTTCCCACTCTCTGATTTGGCGGCTGACGCTGTACATGCTGAACTGCTTTCCTGCTGAGCTGATGCACGTTCTGTCTTGGCAGGAGTTTTTGCGTGATCTTGCTCAACTGCAGAACTGTTTTTTCCTTCTAGAACTCGTTTTTTGGATGGCTCTTCTACCCCTTCTAAAAAGAAGAAAAACATAGATACGTGACTAAGAATACCTCGTACAAAATAGGTGATAAGACAAATACACATTAAAATAAAGGCATGAGGTGAAAATATTTCAGGACTAATCGTTTCTTTAAAAAGTGTGGAATCATTAATTTCTTTTTTTTTTTTTT